TGGCTGCCCCACCTGGCCCCAGCATCCCAACACAAAAAAAGAAAAAGCCCCACACTCACTGGATGTTGCAGCAGTCATCAGGGCCTCTGGGGGCTCATGGCAGAGCCCCCTCATGCAGTGTAGGACAGTGGGGATCACCCCCCTCCCCACACCTGGCAGGAGCTGGTGAGTGCGGGGCTTTTTTTTAAGTGCCGGGACACTGGGGCTGGGTGCGGCAACCATTGAAGGGACTGGGAAAGTGGACAGGGGATGGGGCCTGTTTGATTTGGGCAAATTGATTTGGGATAGTGATTTGAATCACCAAATCAAAATCACTATCCCCTGAATTGGCTGAATCCGAATCCGAAGCGAATACTTGTTGCTTCACACAGGCCTAGTAAATAATGCAATAAAAACTTAATAAGAGTACACTGTACTCAGTACTAATAGATCAGCCTAACAATATGATGCTCTAGAGAGCTACAGAATAAATATTGCTTTTTGAATTACATCAGGCATGTGTCAGAGGGCACATCTACAGATGTATTAATGCACCATGGTTACTGTGCATTAAGTTTAGTATCTGTAATAACAGGTACTAAAGGTGCAGTAGCTGGCACTACTGCACAGTAGCACCAGTGCATGCCTTTTAAGTGACATTTATGTGCAGTAAACTAATTCCACTGCACATTAGCACAATAGCACAGCCATGACACACCTAGACATTTTCTAACTATTCTGGAAGCATCCCTATGCTCTCCTGCATTCATAGGAAGAGAGCAGGGAGGTACCTCTTCTTGACAACAGCAGGCTGGGTTTTCTATGCAGCACTCCCAAAATATTAGACTTGGGAACCGACCTGTTTCCTTGCCAATACATGAGTGTTGAAAAAAGCATTGGCTCCATCTTCTGGTGTAACTAGAGCCCTGGTCTGAGGCATAAATGTGTGTGCAATATGAGCTGTGGAGGAGTCCACGTTGGTTGTTCTAGGAGCAGTAGAAAGTGCACATCATCACCACATGCTATCCCAGCAGCTGTGCTGTTCTGGTTTGATTGCTCAAGCACCTACATAAGGCCAGCACTACTCCAACTTCTTCCTCCCTACCAGGTGTGGCTTAGAACAAGTAAAGGCAGGATTCTGCCTTGCTGTTTGTAATGCAGGTAGCAGGTACTATTATACAGAGAGACAACTGCTTCCTTATTTGCATTCCCCATAAGAGGGATGGTAAACCAGTTCAGCTAGAATGAGAAACAACCCACAACTCAATCAGGAAAACCTTGTTCAGTCAGGTTCTGAACACAGAAGCAAAGTGAACTCCTTTAAAGGACCCTGTGGTTTTCTTGTAAAACCTACGCAGTCCAAAAGTTGTTGCAGTCTTTTTGATGTGCCTTGGCTGGTAACTTCACACACACAGCATTTGGTCTGTTCTCTGTTAGAAATCACCAGCAGAAAAGCTTCAGAACCAGTGCACTGATTCCCTGAAACTATGCTGGCTAAGGCTGCATACATGTATTCAAATGATCTGGAAGAATTCTTCTGGGTTTGTTCTCCTGGTAGAAAAATGTACCTGGAGGCCCTGGGATGCTGGAAGACTGCTGTGGGTACAGACATTCGTTCTCACAGGAAAAATTCTCCTGATCATCATTTAACCCTGGTTATTCCCAAGCTATTTTTCTCCTGGAGCAGCCATTTTTGTTCTGGGAGAAAAAATCCTGAATATCTTACACTTGTGATTTCTCTTGGGAGAGCAGCAACTCTCCCAGATGAAACTGAATGTCTGTACATGGCCTAAGAAACAGGAGATCACCAGCAGAGTGTCATCCACTTGACAGACAGACATGAGTATCATTGGTCTATGTGGAACTACAAGTCAGTCTATAAGGCTGTGGAGACAAAGGAACTGAGAACCTCAAAAATTCTGGTGACACATTCTAGTGTGTGAATGTGATCCAAATGAATGTGTGTGAATGCTAGATCCAAAAAGGAAATGTCTATATGGTTCAAGGGAATGCTGTGCTTAGACGTACTATGCCCACTAGCTCCCAAATCAAAAGTAATGTAGCTAACTCTGCTGAGTGCTAGAGCATACTGGGGCACACATAACACCACACTACTTCTGGTTTAGGAGTTAGCATGTGGGGAGCAGGCAAGGTGCATGTCTAGGTATTGCACTGCTTTGCCTCAGAGAAACTCAGAGGTGTGTAGACACTACAGTGCTTAAGTGCTGTGGTTCCAAACTGTGAGATACCTGGCTCCCATAAACACAACCCTGAGTTGGGTGCCCAGTCTCCCTACACAACACGTAAGAATATGCAGTAGAACCCAGATACTTTGCAGGGTTAGGGTCCTTACAATCTACAGTAGTGGTTCGCAGCCTTTTTAGACTCAAGGTATCTCCCCATAACTTTTGTAAACTGAATGGCACCCCACGAGATAAAACAATTTATTTATTACAGTGTTTAACTCCTTGCAGAGGAGCCAGGCAGTGGGGGCAGAGCAGGGCAGTGCCCAGGGGGCAGAAGCCTGAGCCCGAGGCTGCACTTATCTCTTCACATATCTCCTCATACCCTGCAGTACCTTTCAGAAGATTTCACATCCCAAAGTGCCCCAGCAACCCAGTTGAGAATCACTGCCCTACAGAAATGAGAGCTTGTGAAAGCTCAGCAAATAGCCATGAATGTGGGTTGATGAGCTCCCACCGATTGGAGAAGCAGTGTTCTTTGAAGTAAGGCCCTGAACTGGTCAGCCTACTGTGAACCAAGCAGGCTGAAAGCCACTGAATGCCAACAATCTGGGTTGTATTGAATTACTTATTCAGTGGAACAAGGACTGGAAACCAGGTCTCCCCTCTCAAAAGCCATGTTTTGTGTTCACTCTCTTGCTTAGCCCAATAAATAATTATTCTATGCAAAGACCGACAGCTCCAAAAGGCCCTGTGGTTAGAGTGCTCTCCTAACAGTTGTGAAATGTAGGCTTCAGTTGTGTCAGCAGAAGAGGGAATTGAACCCAAGTCTTCTAGGTCCTAAGCTAAGCAAGTCCTGGCATTCTAGACACTGAGCTATTGGATAAAAAAGCAGACAGCCCTTCCACCTGGTAATTCAGTGCTCAATCAGTTTGAGGTACTAATTTCCACATATTTTGTCAGGCTTATAGCAACCCTATTCTCAGCTCCCTTTGGAGGAGTCACTCCCTTCTGCTGACTGAAGAATCCCTGAGATTCCTATTTGTTTTGTTCTTTCCTTTCTTCCATGGAGGTTGGGAAAGTCATTCAAGGAAAACCACACATCAAAAACCCAAACACAGATCAATGTTACATGCCCACCTTCCACAAGATTCACTCAGGCAGAAATGGAAAGCATGACCCCAAGCTCTAATGAGCATGCTGCCTGCCCTCCTGACTACCCACTCTTATTTTCATTTGAACCTGCATTTCACATTACAGAACCGGATAGTCACCTGGCAGTCCTCCCACATATGTCTTCACAGATGACTGCAGATAGCTTTCCAAGACAGCCAGACTGTCCTCTAGCTGGGAATGGCTGAATTCACTCTCTCCTGCAATCCCATCCACAGCAAATGACAGTTGATCCTTATTGATGGAGACATCCACTGAGTGTTCCTTGTCATCACATACATTTATTGCCAGTCTGGACACAACTGTTGTCTCCATGGCCAAGATGATGAACTGAGGAGCAGAAGACTGCAATGAGTGAAGGCACAGACAAAAGCTAAAACATGATTTATGTTTTTCTAGGTTCAAATTAATCCTTTCTGTGGGCCTTTATAGGAAGGTTTTCATCATCATATTAGGATTTCTGAAGGTCACATTCTGAGCATACAAAACTTTTGCCTGGTTTCCCAACAGGGGTCTGATTCTCATTTATCCTAAGATGACTTTAAATCACCTTGACAGTTTAAAAGGAACCCTAAAGAGAGCATATCTTTAACATTTGCACTGCTGAAAGAAGAAAAAAGTCAGCTCGCTGACTCTGGAGGAATTATTCCTACTTTATGCAAACAAGATGGCAAAATCTAGTCCTATGTCATAAATATAACTGATTATATTGTATATATTTCACTAGAAGCATTCCTGGCATTTTGCAGACGCCCTGGAATTACACCTAGGCCACTTCCTTGATGACACAGCAGCCATGGGGTTATACTGTTACTACTGAAATGAAAAGGTCAGGCTCAAACTCAACTGAGAATTGTTACTTTGTCAACAGAGATCTACAGTTTAATTCGGACAGACAAACACGATAAAATGGGACAGTGGCTCAAACTGAAAAGGTTGTACCAGATATTGTCTGTGTGACGTTATTCCCAGCAATACAATATCTTTTACAAAGGCCAAACTTGCAAAGAGTGCTATGCTGCCCTTAAATGTACACCTACAAAAAGCAGAATTCCCACAATAACAAGGCACTTGTTTTGCGTCCAAAATTGCAAATTGGTGAGTTCAAATGACTGCACAGAATGAATGGCAGGACACACTTGGGGATCCTTTTGTGTTTACACTGGAAGATGCTTAAAGTTTGTACCTGTTGTTTAAGTTTCTTTGTGGAGTGATAGTCAATCAGTGCCAATGATAAAGGGACTGATTCTTCTGCACTAACCAAAGCAAAAAGCACACCAGTGTCTGTTGCTGGCCGAATGATGGCATTTACTTGTATTTTCCAATTCCGCTCAGTTTCATTTCCAGCAGGTGGTTGCACTACAGACAAAAAGACATATGTCAAAAAAATAGAATGACTGCTCAACAACTGGCAGATGAGGTGATTCCTGTCTCAGAGAGAATGGATAGCTGAGCTTATGGACAGCTTGCTATTTCTTTTAGTCAGAGGAAAAATCAAAAGTGCCTGAACACAGGAAGGAAAAAGGTAAGAGCTCTGGTCTTATTACTCTCCACAGAGAAAGCTGCAGCTTTTCAGAATGCCAAAAATCAGGGTTGAGCTTTTTAATCAAGAAGAGAGATTCAATTGCCAAGGACTGTCAATCCATTACTTTATCAGAGCTCCTATGAGACAGGGCATGCAATTTTATATCCAACTTGAATATCACACAATGATTGAGGGATTTGCTTCCAAATCTGACCCAGAAGAAACAGATCACTTTCACAAAAGTATCAAAACTAAACTGAAGGGCTATAAACAGCACACATTGAACATTACCTAATCACCAGCCAATCAAAGGTTTTTGAATGTTCTAAAGTGCTTCTAGTTCACAAGTTTTGTCGCCTGATGACTACAGAAGCAGATTTTGTTGCCATCTTTCCTACTAATGCAGCACCTTTGGAGATCAAAAATAATATTGGCTACAAAGAAAGACGCCGACATTGCCTTCCTGGCCTGCCTGAGCAACGCCGTAAACAATTCTGCTTTACTGCAGCTGCAAACAGGATAAATTACTTCTTTATGTAGTTTGCTGCTATTAAAGCAAAAACAAAGTTAACTGTTTATTATAAAATAATATAAATATGTAAGTGCTGAGGATGCATCTCAGTTGGAAGGTTTCTCTCATTGGTACTTCCGATACCAGGCTCTATTTTGCAGCTCTTGCACCAAACTGTAAACAGGATGATTGTCACCTGATAAGATGTTCTCTAATTTACAAAAGCAGAGGAAAACCCACATAATGCTGCACAGAAGATTTAAGAAGAAGAGAATGTGTATACAAGACTAAAATAGACCACTGGCATTTATAAAGGATTTCAAAACCTGACAAAGCTGATTACATGGATAAACAGAAGACTCTAGAACAATGACTAAACTATCCTTCAAACTGCTAAATTAATAGACCTAAGAATGGGCTGGAACAAGTTAATACAAAATCCAGGCCAAATTTTGCCCACCTTGTAGTGCTGTTCACACTATCACTTGTCACTAACAAAGCAACCATATTCAAATGCCATAAATATCATTTAGGTCAAAGATAAAATTAGGTATTTCATGTTAGGCACTGAAAATTTTGGGCTTGCTATAATCTCAACACAGAGCATACTAAACATAAGAACGTGCATCAGAGAAGCCACAATTGAAACAGTAGTGAAGAGGATTATGCATGAAAGATGAAATGCATTGTCAAACACACTCAGAGGGAACTTAAACCAGAGTTTCCCATATGATGTTGGGTATTATCCAGTGTAATTTAGACCTTCCTTTCTATGAGCTAGCGTTGTTGGTTACAGCCATGTTGGTCTAAGGACATGGGCAAACAAGGTTCTTTGCATAGATGTGATATCTTTTATTAGACCAACTAAATAGTTGGAAAAATTGTTCTTTGCAAGCTTCTGGGCACAAATACCCTTCTTCAGGCATAGAGAGAGTTTGCTGGTGAATTGTGCACTCTCCTGGGTAGAACAGAAGCCAATATAAAAAATGCAGGTCTGGGAAAATGCAAACGTGTGGCAGTAAGCATCAAAGGGACAATAGGTGCGAGACAGGTGTGGGGTGGAGGGGAAAGGGGGAATGTGGAACTGATGCTAGAAGAATGTAGCTGGTAAAATGCAGACAGATTCCCTGGGGTTCTCAGATGGCAGGCAGGTTATAATGTGGCATATTATAACTCCCCCATCCCGAAACCTGTCTCATGCCTATTGTCTCCCATCCCTCTGATCCTCACTGCCATGCATTTGCATTTTCTCAGACCTGCATTTTGCATATTGGCTTCTATTCTACCCAAGACAGCACACAATTCACCAGCAGAATCTCTCTGTGCCTAAAAGCTTGCAAAGAACAATTTTTCCAATTATTCTGTTGGTCTAATAAAAGATATCACATCTACCCAAAGAAGCTTGTCTGCCTATTTCCATGAACTACAAATTCAGCTGTTCATTTGCTCTCTACAGCTGCTAGACTTCTTAACTGGGGAAAGGCTTATTTCAACTGCTTTATTTTTTCAGCACACAGCTGATAATTTTCCCTCACCATGTAAATAATTTCAGTAAATAGGTCTTAAAAAAAAAAAGCAAAATACAAAACAGAATAAACAAAATGAAAACCACTCATCCTTCCTTGACAATATGGGAATACATACATTTTTTAAATTGTTAGTTCTGTAAAGATAAAAGTATGGAGATCAGAGCATGACAGTAACTTAAAAACCACAAAGAGCACTTACTGTAACTAAAATTAAATAGAGCAAAACCACTGCCTGGGTAGAAGGATCCTTGTCCTGCCACTGAAAAGCACTGCATCTTCTTATTCATCTTTATTGTTTCTTGGATAGTAGTATCCTCACCATTCAACCAGTTCCATGCCCGTATGCAGCCATCCAGCCGAGGATTTATCTAGTAACATAATGAAATACTTCAGCCTTGAACTCTTATTCCATTACAAGAGAAAAATCAGGCACACAGGGGAGCCCACAAGACTAAGCAATGTTATCAAGTCAAACCAGGCAGAAAATAATCCTCAGATCATAGGAAAGTAGGGCTGGAAGGAACCTCATGGGGTCATCTAGTCCAGCCCCCTGCTCAAGGCAGAATCGTCCCTGACTAAACCATGCCAGCCAAGTGTCTGTCTAACCTGCTCTTGAAAACTTCCAGGGATGGAGATTCACAACTTCTCTAGGTAACGTGATTCAATGCTTGACCACCCTCATAGTCAAACATCTTGCCCTGTTACCAAAGCAGGCTAAGGCCCAAATCCTACAATGGCACCCACAAAAACAGACGTCTGTGCCCAAAAACAGCTCCCCTGAATCTCAATGCATTGCAGAGGCCTGGCTTATACAGGCCTAAATCCACCGTGCTGACTTCGATATCCATTTCTACAGGCTGACAAGTTCATTGGTTGGATCATCATGCTCAAAGAGTTCAATCCACAGGCTGGGAAGTTAATTTCTTAGGACTCATAATGCATAATTCCAAGTGAACCACCTTACGAATAAATGGCCTGCATCCTCAGTTAATTTGGGATAAGTGTCGCAGCCAGAATAAAAACTCAGGTTCCCAATCTCCTGACAACACTACATTCTAGCTTAATATATTCAGACTAGTTACCACACTGAGGCCATGTCTACACGTTGCTATATGGCAACATTGCTACGTTGCCATGCATTAGTATTTCCTTCTGGAAGTACTAAAGCACAGTGCAGTATGGGTAGGTATGGGTAGTTCCTGCATTGTACACACTGCACATGGTTAGATTTCGCCATTACGTCGCTACAGTGGCGTGCTTTACCAGGGGAGCGTGCTACTATGCTGACGTAGCAGCCAATCATGTGTAGACCCACATGATCACTACATTACCACAGCACACCATACAGCAATGTAGTGCATCGTGACATCACCACAGGGCGATGTGTAGCCCTACCCTGAAAGACTTATTGGCTAGGGACAGAAGTTACACATAAACAGATTTAAGTTAACAGAAACTCATTTAAACCTGCAACAGAACAGAAGCTCAGTGCACATAAACCAGCTTAAAAATAGCTAAAACTGGTTTAAGATAAACCTGGTTGAACGAAGTATCAGATTTCACTGATTTCAGTCAAACTGGTTTATGAAACTTCTGCCCCAGACCCCTTCCTGTTCAAGTTAAATCACAGTCCCCCAGCATACTTTCCAGCCCTGGGCTGTGCTGTGATGTCTTCTCCATCAAAGAAGGGCTGGGGGAGAGGGGAAACAGGGACTACTCCCATCCCCCCCAGCAAACCCCAGCTGGGGTCTGGGGCCAGGGAGCAGGGTTAAACCCACCTTCCCCTGAGTACAGAACTGCCTTGCTGCTAAATTTACTAAAATTTATTGCTGGATGTGACTGTGGATTACAAATCCCAGAGACACCTGGAAGCAGAAAAAGGAAGTGATGAGCAACCCTGCAGAGTCCTGCTGCTGTGATTCTGGGCTGCAAATACTAGAGACCTCAGGGACGGCAGGAAGAGGAAGCAAACACACCACCCATGCGGCTGTGCCAGAGACATACTCTAGCGCCCCTGGCTTCTGGACTGAGCCACTGCAGGCATGCGGCTGCATTTCCTGAGTCAAACGTAAATTTGTCTAGTTGTTTCTCAGTTTAATCTCTGCAGCTTAGACTAACCTGCAAAGACTGAATCAATTTACCCTTGGGCTTTTTGGCTGTCTGTATTTAGCCACTGTGGGGACAAAAGGCCTCCTGACATGGCTGTATTCAAAGTCGTGGAGCCATAGGGTTGTCACTTTATTTAAAACTAATAAGCCAAACTCTTGTTGTCGGGGCCCTGCTCTATCTTTGGTGGGGGATTAAAAAAGGAGGCTAATCCAGAGGCATAACAATGCAGCTCTGGGATCTGGGCAAAAGTGGCAATAGCTATTTTTGTGTCGTCCTTCATCCCCATCCTCTCCCCACCCCCTTGGCTATGCAATGGGATTGAGCATAGGTATTTAAACATAACTCATATAAACCTCCTTCTACCAACAGCTTCTATGGAAATTCTGGCTAAATTACTGTAGAGTCTTCCAAAACTAGTTTCATGCCTCAGCCAAACTTTTCCAAGGAGTGCCTTAGTTTTTAGTCTTCTTCCTTGTGTCACAACCCAAAGTTGTGATTTTTGTTTTGTGTGCACTTCGGCACTGCTAAATTATTTTCCCGCCAAATTGCAGCTTCTTTGCACGGTGAAGTTCTCTGCTGCAAAGGAGAACTCCGGTGCAACGGAGAGTCTTCCCGCCAATTTGTAGCTTTCTTTGCATGGTGCATTCCTTTTGCATCTTGGAAATGCACGGTGCAAAGGAGTTCCTGCCATTTGTATTTTAATTCGAGCCCCATTATTGGCTTGTGTTAAATTAGGCACACGTGGCGGCTAGCAATTGGCTTGCTAGCCGTATAAAGAGCTTGGGTGGTTTCCGCCCAAGCTGGAGAGAAAGCAATTGGAGTCCAAGAGGGAGAGCGTGAAGATCTCTAAGCGCTGCGGATCCCTATGAACCCAACGCATTTCTTAAGAAGGCAACAGAGGTCTAAACAGCCTCTGGCCTCTCCCTGTCGCCGAGCACAATCCTAGACATATCCCTATCCTATATACTCAATTGCCGAACCCACAGAGCCTTAACAACTCCGGGGCCTGAGAGCCGAACCAAACCCACGGAGCTTCGACAACTCCGTGGGAAAGAAATTACCAAACCCGCGGAGCCTTAACAACTCCGGGGCCCAAGAACCGAATTTGTTGTGGTCCTCCAACAAGGATTTAAGCGGAGCTGAACCTGGAAACTGTCCAGCCTACACCGCGACCATCTTGGGTGTAAGTAAATAATCTTTGAATCAACCACTACGCCTCCATGACTAATTCTAGCCTGTGCGTTCCTTACCGCCCCGCGGTCCCTTCTGACCCCACGTGCCCGGGCTGCTGGCCACAGCCCGCGTGCGCAAAGACGGGTCCGCATATCGCTCCCGGCTCGCACATGGCGACATGGACGGGATCAGGAGGCGGCCCGCACACCTTGAAGCTGACTTTCACAAAGGGCAAAAAATACTAACAAAAACAACCTTTGAGCCACTAAAAGCCCCCCCCCCCTTTTTTTTTTTTTAACAGGCTGAGAAACAGCCCATGCTAGCACACTTGGAGCTCTCTACTAAAAATAGATGTTAGAAGTGATTCGTATGAGTCTGGCACCATATGTATGGAATACAAACATTAAAACACATTGCAGGGAAGGAAAGCTCCACCTGCCTTGTTCCCAGGCTCCTAACAAACACCAAGCTCAATTCCCCTCTCACTTAGCCACGCCTCACTCCACAAAGGTCGATAGAGTTAACTGGTTTTAACTGAAGTCAAAAACAGGCCCATAACACAATACGTACCAATTCAAGCGATGAGTAAAAGAAGTACTTACAGGCTGAACAAGGTCTTTAGTTTTGAAAGGAATGCCTCCGACTGTTAAATTCAGCTGATACAATCCTTTGTCAAAAGTAAATAAATCCCCTGAAACTGCTATTTTCATAACTGCATCTTTGTTGACCTTTATAACTAAGCTTCTTTCCAGTTCTTCAACAGAGATCTGGAGAAACAAAATTATTAATGAGAATATTCTGCAGTGGAAAGATTTAACTACTGAAAAGTCATATACAATGCAAACACAAGCAACAGAACTCACAAGATAGGAAATCATCTCCTCTCTCAAGCCTATTTCATGAACCTTTTGGGATCTATTTTATGTTGTCCTTTGATAAGGGAAGTTTTGCTGCAGGTAAGCAGATGGAGCGGTCCTGGCACTAAAGTCCACCCACTTTAAGCACAAAAGAAAGTCTACCCATGTTTCAGGGATTTTGGTTGTAGCTGTGTTGGTCTAAGGACATAGGCAGACAAGGTTATTTAAGTAAATGTGGTGTCTCTTATTAGACCAACTGAAAAGTTGAAAAAATTGTTCTTTGCAAGCTTTCAGAAACAGGCACCCTTCTTCAGGCACAAGGAGAGTCTGCTGGTCTTCTCTCCAGGGTCCAAATAGTAGTCTAAAAGAAAGTCTACTCATTCCAAGTTGAAGCTAAGATTGCAAAAGAAAGAGAAGACAGTCTCTTGACAATTACTTCATGTTTTTACAATGTTTGGAATGTAAACCTCTACACGGGTTCTAAGTGGAATAACAAGTTTTTAAATTATTTTCATCTTCCTATTGCAGCCATAAAGGAAAGAACAGCTGAAGGCCAGATAAGGGGATGCCTGCTGTTGCACCAGTAAATAGTAGATAACACAGATGATTTCAGACCATGAATACATTTCATCTTTGAATTGGACAGTTTAGCAAAGAACAAAAGAAATAAAGGTTCATAATTGAGACAGCACACAAAAAAATTGTATGTTTATACAGCACTTTTCATCTCAGAGACAGGAAGGAGCCTTAAAAACAGAGATGTCCAGGTAGATTCCTGCACTGACACAAAAGGACCAAATAAACTTTCTTGGGGGTTCAAGTAGGCCCAGTACTCTGCCTGCATATGTTCACTGCAAAACCAAGGCACAAATACAGTTGGTAGCACTGAAATACAGCCACCTCTGGAAAGGGAAGGGAGGCACAAAACAAATGCACACCATGCTGCACAAAAACAGTGGCTCAGATAAATTGCAACCAAAGACCTAAGGTAAATGTTGCTCTCTGAAGACATACCAGAGGATTTTAACACCTACACAGAGCAGGAAAAAGCTCAGCTCCCTCGCTCTACATTTCCATTTAGACTATACACACAGGCATGTACACAGTGCACTGCAAGTTAACGGGTTAAGTTGAACCCACTGGTCCGGTCTGGAACCTGGAATCCTGTGAAGTACAGGTACATCAAATTTTATGTTTAAGGATACATTTCTCAATGATGCATGAACGACTCACGGTATCGACATATAAAATATTTACCATGGGATAAGAATGTTACCAAGAAGCAAACGACATGCAGTCAAGCCCAACCTCCTTTGACCCTACTGTAAATTGCTCCTTTACTCTCCTCAGTCCTATTTTGAGGAGTGACTCAGCCTTGAACTCTGAAATGCCTAATTCAGGAACCTAAATGTCAAAGGACCTTGGGACTTAGCACTCTATGTTACTTATATGATTCTGGAAATTTACCCCCAAATCCCAAAAGCCTTTCCACCTTTGTGTGCATGGGGAGGGAGATACCAACAGTCAAATAAGGGGTTTAAAAATATGCTGCCCAGGAGTTACAAAGAAAATAAAAGGCCTTAGGGAGTTGAAGGGCCTCTGTGCAGGTTAGTTTAGCCTCTGAGCACTCCCCTCAGAGACCTAATAGATCCTGTGGGTCTTGGTGGTTTCTTCTGCAGGCGAGACAAGTAGCCCAATCTCAAAGTAGAGCACAGGGAAGACTCTGTGTTTTTTTCCAGAAGTAGCAAGACCTCAGACCAAGCACTATCACTGCTGGCACTGCGGTTTTTCAGGTTCCCCCAAACACTCAGCAGCTTTGCATTTTCTCACCCCCAAACTGTTTCTTATATTTACCCATATTTTTAAACAGCTCAAATTCTCCTTGGTATTTGTTTTCATCACTATTCTCCAAATACAGCCAATTGAAAACTTTTTCTGAACTGCATTTGAGATGCAATGAACATTGAAAAAGAGGCAAACTACAGCTGCTGTTAATGCTGGACTTGACAGCAACTCTGCACACTGCCTCAGTGCACTGTTTGCACAACAAATACCTGGCTGCTTTTCAGGTACTCCTCCAGCTAGTTTTCACTCCCTGAGATGGCATTTATAGCCAAAGTAATTTGAACTAATTTTTGCAGAGCTGGGTTTTAGGTAACATTGCATCAAATGTCTAATTAAGAGCCAAACACATCACATGACAACTCTTGCATTCCCCACTGCTACTCATTTGTAAATTTGTGTGTTTAAAAAAGAGCAAGCAAATTTACCCATCCAAACTTCTCCTTTGCGCAGGTCCATTCCCATTACCAGTTGTCTCTGGAGACTCATAGATTCATAGACGGTAGGGTCAGAAGGGACCTCAACAGATCATTGAGTCTGACCCCCTGCCTGGGCAGGAAAGGGTGCTGAGGTCAGATGACCCCAGCCAGATGCCTATCCAGCCTCCCCTTAAGACCCCCAAGGTAGGAGAGAGCACCAACTCCCTTGGAAGCCCATTCCAATTTTTGGCCACTTACTGTGAAGAAGTTTTTCCTGATGTCTAGCCTAAATCTGCTCTCTCTGCCACTGTGTGACCATTGTTCCTTGTTACCCCAAGAGTTGGGCTCCGGGAGCAGCGAGAGATGCGCAGGTGAAAGCCCGCTGCACCCCCGCTCCCCCGAAACCCCCCAGAGACCCCCCAGCAGCCGCGGAGCCCCCCCGTGGCTGAGTGGGAGCTGGGCCGGGGCTCGCCCCACCCAGGCCCCTACTTCGCCCAGCCCCCCAGGGAGCCACGCAACCGGAGCTGTGCAAACAGGCGCGCTTGTCTGCTGGCGCGAGTTAGCACGGAGTTCACGCGGGAGAGCCCAAGGCCCTGCCTGCAAGCCCCCTAGGGTAGGCAGACTCAGGCCCAGCCCACCTACCAGCGGCATGCCACGGATGGGAACACGCCGCACTCCGAGGGGTCTGCAGGCCCTCCCCCCCGGCACCTCAGAGACGGCCACCCAGATGGAGCCCATAGTTCCAGGCTCCACGCGGACGGAGCCCCTGGCGCTCTGCTGCGGGGGCTGCCTGTCCCTTTTTCAGGCTCTGGGGCCCGGGAGCATGGCCACCTCCCTTTGTGGGGTCTGCTCCCTTTTGGGGTCTCTGGCGCGCCAGCTGGAGGAGCTCCAGGCCACAGTCCAGAGACTGCATGCCATCAGGGACTGTGAGCAGGAGATAGACTCCTACTGCCAGGCCCTTCTCCCCAGGAGACAGAGGGTAGACCACAGTCTCCCACCAGGACAAGGGAGGACTCGGGGACCTCCCCTTCTGTCCAGTCAAGGGGATGGACCAAGGTGGTTAAGGGCCCTAAGGCCTGCTGCACCAAGGCCCTTGCCCTGCCAGAGCTTAGCAACAGGTACGAACCTCTTGCAGCCCCAGCAGAGCCTGCTGAGTTACCAGCTCCCGCAGGCAACACAGGCTCAACTGCAGCTACCGTCCCCGCTCTCCCCAAGACAAAACGTACAGTGTTTGTTGTGGGAGACTCCATCCTGTGGGGGACTGAGGGGGTAATCTGCCGCCTCAACCCCTTAGCCCAGGAAGTCTGCTGCTTCCCAGAGGCCTGCATCCGAGACAATGAAGAGAAGATCCCTCAGCTCCTCCAGCCCACAAACCACTATCCCATGCTCCTTATTCATGCAGGCACCAATGACATGGCTCAGAGCACTCCCAGCCAGGTCATGAGGTGCTACAGGGATTTGGGAGCAGGGCTAAAGGGTCTGGGGGCACAGGTGATGTTCTCTTCGATCCTCCCAGCCTTGGGCTATGGGCTGAGGAGGGAGAGGAGGATCCTGGTAGTGAACCAAAGACTGCGGCGCTGGTGTCACCGGGAAGGCTTTGGCTTCCATGACCACAGCCTGCTCTTCGGTAAGAGAGGCAGTCAGCTGCTGGGAAGGGATGGCCTCCACCTCTCTCCGCTGGGGAGAAGGCTCTTCTCAGCCAGACTGGTTGACCTGCTCCACTGGGCTTTAAGCTACGCCCGCTGGGGGATGGGGGACTACCACCACTACTGGCCCACTGAGCAACCCTTGCAAAGCAGGCAGGCCAAGGCACTTAAGGGAGCTCACCCCTGCCCCATCCCGGTACAATCTGTGGGCAAGGCAAGAGCCCCCAAGGGGACACTTGCCTGCCTGTACACAAATGCCAGGAGCTTGAGGAATAAGCAGGAGGAACTCATCCTCCTGCTTAACACAAATTACAACATCATAGGGATAACGGAGACCTGGTGGGACTCCACCCATGACTGGACCATGGGTATAGATGGCTATACCTTGTACAGGAGAGATCAAGTAAATAAAAGGGGCGGGGGTGTAGCTCTCTATGTTAAGGAAAGCTACACGTCCCTGCAAGCTGATGTTGGCGACCAGGGTGGACAACTGGAGACCCTCCGAGTTAAAATCTGGGGGGAACACGGCAGAGAGGACACAATGGTGGGAGTCTACTACAGACCTCCCACCCAAAGTCAAGAACTTGACCAGGAGTTCACCCGGGAACTGGCTGAGGCCGCATGCTCCAGGACCATGGCTGTCTTGGGTAACTTCAACTACCTTGGAAGGATCGTGCAGCAAAATCCAAGCAGTCGCAAAGCTTCCTATCATGCGTGGATGACCTCTCCCTGACTCAAGAAGTCTATAGGCCAACGAGAGGTAAAGTGCTGCCTGACCTGGTACTGGCAACCGGGGATGACATAATCAGCGACCTAACGATCCAGCTCATGGAAGCTGGATGACAGCAACCATGAGCTGATCACCTTCATCATCCGCCGTAAAGCTGGCAAGTCAGTCAGCAACACTCAAGTCCTTGACTTCAGGAAAGCCAACTTTGACAAGCTCAGAAGGCTTGTCAGTGAGGCCCTAAGGGACCACGACCCCAGGGGGAGGGGAGTCCAG